TCATCATCAAACACTTCTAATCACAGTAGCAGCTGAAAACCCCATGGTCTATAAATACCATTGAGATGGTCTATAGGAAAGACATTGCATCCGACGGCGATAACATGAATGTTGCCAGTTTGAATTTGTAGGGAAGCTCGATAGATAATACTTCCTCAGTCAATAACCTTATCTTGCGCATAATTTTAACACGTTTGCTCTCTCCATTAAACCAACCACTTCACGCTGAGCCTTAGCTCAGTGTCGGGCATTTCAGTGGCTGATTATCGATCTAAATGTATGGCAGGTTTTGCACTTTGACGTCGCGGATAGGGTTTGAACCCTAACACCTTTGTAAATACTTAGTGATATCAAAAACAAATTTCAAACCTTGTCACCACCACTATCCATTTGGGGCGGTGACCAGCTTCTCTATCCACGCAGGCATCGGTAAACCTATCAAACTAACACCTGTGTGTAGTCCACTATAGTGCGTATTGTCGGTGTTAAGGGTGGAGTTGGAAAAACCGTGGGCTGCTAATCCGTACTACATTTGCAAACAGTCTGTCGAGGTTTTTCTAGTATTATCTGTTTGTGTACAGGTTAGTTGTGGCGTGTGAGAGTGCATTTCTGTTACACAGACATGTTTCACTGGAGCACCGTCTCCTTGCTGAAGTGCCGGGTGATTAAAACCACATCAATTTGGTAAATCTATCTTATGGGTGGGTTAGATTCTATCTATCTCAGGTGTTGCACGATGCTCCCCCCTTCCCTCCATTGGAACAGCTTTTCGTGGAACTACACAAACAACGTAGATAATATTTTGCAGCTCATCAGACTGGCTTTATCGCTACATTCTAAGAGCACACAGTCACGGCTGAGAGCCACGTGTAAATAAAGTTTAGACTTATATATAATATGGCAATACTAATCAGTGACATCAATTGCATAATAATCTATCTATCCGTCAATCTTTTGCGATCTTCTGGAAAAACTATGAAAAATTTGTTTGCCGGAAACCGGGGAAACTGCGCTTGGTTAAATTCAGTGTTGATCATGGCGACCGACGGTAGGTTTGAAAATGGACATCTTACGATGGAAAGCAAGTTAAATTTATTGAATTTCAAAACTGAGCCCCATGTTGGTGCATACATTTGATTGAAGGCCTCAAATTGTTGGTTTACATTACTGTGCAGGTAATTTGGTTGAAACACCTGTACCTGATTTGGCGTATGTCAATTTTGGTAATGTATTGAACTAATATGAAGCACTGTCTTGCAAAACTGTCTCAACCGATGTGAAGTTGTCGATACGCAACATAATTAACGGTTGTAAAACCTGTGCATATATTTTTGTAACCAAAAAGGTATTCAGTTGACTTACCAAGTGGGGCCAAAGACAAATTTAAAACGGACTTTCATTAACACTCGCAAACACTATGGAGCAGATTTCCAATTTAAACGCATACAGCGTAAACAGAGCATTCGAGGAATTCTTGAACAAACAACTACAACAAATGCGCTGATTGCAGCCCAGATGCGTTTGTGTAGAGCGATTCTTCAATGTACGTGTGTTTCTGTGTGTTTCTAAAGTGCTCACTGTTAGCGGACCATTAAAACCTCAGAACTAATGGCGCTTCATTGTTTTGGGAACGGGCCGAAAATTCACATTTACTAGGTGTCCCGAGCGTCAGGGTTTATCCTGCTCCGTCAGGGCCAATGCGTCGGTTTGGATGGACAGCTCTTTCAGAGCCAGTCCATTTAATAATCAATGCTATGATTCAATGTTTTTGTAAGTGGGTTAGATGCTAGTAACCCCAACAAACGTGACCTGATAGTCTTTATAAAATATTTCATAATAAGTAGTATATGAAT